GAAAAAAACATTAAGTTGTATTTTCAATTTCTGTTTTTGGTTTATTTTTTATCAACATTTTTTATTTACATATGTTTTAAAAGTTGTAAAAAAATTTCAAAAATCATTTTTATAAATTTTGTTTCAGTATGTAATTTTTTTTGTGTCTTATTTATTTTAAATGACATTTTTTTGCAATATTAATTTACATATTTGTACATATAACGTTTACAATCAGAAATGGAATAATGGCGCTCTGGCCATTGGTACTGGCTAGCGCACAGGCTTTAGGTTGGAATCCTGGCCTTGGCATGGATGTGATCCGGATTCCACATTAAACTGTTGGTCCCCGTATAATTAACCTAAAGTGTGCGATAAAGGACAGTAGAGCGACAAAAAAAAAACCCTTAAACCATGTCTAACTTGCCCATATGTACGGAAATTTGCAGTAATTGTATTTTTGAAGTTATTTTGTAAATACTTTTCCAAAATAAAGACTATTATCAGCGAAATACAAAATAGTTATTACAAAGTCTTTGATACTTGTACATTATAAATGAATTATATTGTATTACAATTTTACTTGGCAAGTGAAATATTTGCCCAAATCATAACCAGCAATAGTCAGTTACTTTTTAAGAAATGTTTAAGAAATAACGACAGGGAAGCAATTCTTTTGCTTTGTAAATAGAGAGTAACAAATTCTCTATCAATAAAGACATCAATTAAACAAAAAAATATATATTCATTATATTTAAGAAAAACATAAAAAATTCATTTATGGTCTAAATTGGACAATTCACTATATTTTTGAAAACTGCAACCTTTAAGAAAAACATCTTCTTTTATAATTAAAGAATAACACTCAACGGCCATTGTTATTTATTGGTATTTTTCATTAATTTCCTTTTTTTTCTCTCTGTACTATTATTATGATACGAACAAAACGTCATAAAAATGAAATTATCGTTCCAGCATTCCAAAGATTTCACGTCCGAAGATATTAAACACAAAACTTTTCACACCGCTACAAAGTGATGCTTTGCTCATTAAAAGCATTTGAGTTTCTAATTCCTGCAGATATTCGTTCCCTTTTAGCTCGTTGGCGATCCTTTGGAACTCGTTCCTCATTAGCACATCGGTAGGTGAGGGAATCTCGCGTAATTATCGCCACCCTGGAACTTTGGGCATTGTGAAATTATTATGCTTCGTTATTTCGAGCAGCGGATTCGGAAATGAGGCCGCTGTCTTTCAAGACAGAGAGCGCGTTTTGAAGATTTCAGAAGGGTCCAGTCGTAATACGTTTAATAAGTCTTCATTACGAAGGTGTCGAGTGTCTAGAAAGATAGATTATTTCATGTTTCATTTATGTGTCAATATATTTAGGAATTTACGTATGTAAATACGATTTTGAGATTGAATTAGATTGTTGTATACTAGCATGATGTAATTTTAATATGACTCTTTAAAAAGCCAATATATTAATCTTTCTGATTTTCACAAAAAATTAATGGGCGTTTTATAGGTTTAAGTGTTACACATTAAACTATAATAATTTCTTGTTAATAAGGGAGGAATATTTCGACGCTATGATAAGTATATAGCAAGTTAAGCGTCATCCAAGGTGAATCACGGCCATCTACTGCCCTGTATTATATTTTTATATTGTAATTTGAAACGAACATCTTGAGAGTGGTATCTAAGATATGAATGTTAGCATCAATCTCTTCAAATTCTCAAGCTTGACGAAAAGAGTTTCCAACTTAAGGATTTATTATGCCCATTTCGGAAATAGACACGGAATTTTTTGTTGTTATTGTGAGTAATTGTCAGAAGCTTGGACACCCCATGAATAGTCTACTCATGGTCGGAGAGACAGGGAGCAACTTCTATTTTGATGGAATACCCGTAGGTAGAAGTCTGATTTGGCTCAGAGTCACTGAATAAGGAGGGCAGTGAATTCTAGGGGGAACCACCACCCCAAGTCTGACTTTGCTCTGTGTGGCTGAAGAGTCTTCCAGGAGGACTTTTAGGGTTAAATACCCCGCATTTGCATATCGTATGGGAGCCAGGTACAACTCCCACCAGGTAGTCTGGAAAGCTCCCAAACGCCCATGGCTGAACATCCCAAGCGCCATGGAGTATCCTCGTTTTTATAACATTGCCTACAACAATGCCGAACTGTATCTCCGCCCTAATGCTCATCAGCTGTGTCCGTTGCCACTGAGCCACCAGTCGGGCTTCACAGGCCAAACCAAACTCTCTTAGTTTGGAAGCATAACGTGCTGTCCATGCAGGCAGTTACATCTTTTTAAAAAAATATGACCTATTATTAATATTTTTAATTTTTTATAAAAATACCATCTAAAATGCTGCTAGTAATCATTATACTAAAGATATATTTTACCGAAGGTTTTCTGAATTGAAAGAGTACATTCACAAAGATAAATAGGCTTTTCTTGCGTTCTAGAGGTTCGAACTCTGAGGTGGTATCCGTTGCATACACTGTCTTCAGAAACGAGAAGACTCGATATCGATTGTAAACTTGTGTTGATTGTGTAGTGAGAATTTGGTTTGAAACTAGGAAGATGATGCCGAAACATAATAATATAATATATAAAATCTTACCGCATCGCCAATTAGACTGCCTAGGGGAATGTTCATGTTTCCTCCTAAGCAACACACAAATGTGTGACAGTTACCCTAAATGTCTTTTCATTTTATCATCTATTATTGATTTTTAGTGATATACATAAATGCCTTAATGCTTAAAGAACATTTTACATTATAATATTACAACATTTTACATTATATACACTTTGCGTAAAAATTTCTCATAATTATTTCGACTAAAAATTCCGAAATATTAATAATCATATACCGTGGAAAGTCAGAGCTAGACCAAAAGAAAAATATCGCTTAGAGTTTATAAACATTAAAATCTAAGCACAGACTATATTCTTATAAAAGTGAGAAACTAAACTTTCGGATTTTAATTGAAGTGCCCACTAATGTTTAGAAAGTATTTTTTTTTTTTTAAATTTAGTTTTTGAATGTTAAAATCTGGTAAATTAAGTTTGTACAAAGTCAATGGTTCAAAAATGTAATCTTTTGTGTTCGTTAATTCAGTAAAAAAAGTAAAAGAATCCAAAAATATGATTAAAAACAGTTTTCTTTACACCCCAAAACTTGATTATTAAAAGAAAAAACTAAATTTAATGCATTTTCGGATTCCGTTTTTCAATTCTTGAAAAGAAGACGCATCATTTAGTTTTCTACACCTCCATTAACGTGCGGCACAAAGCAGATTTATAAATAAATAAAATAAAAAAAATCCTTTTTATTTTCTCAGATTGTTTTGTGTAATGAAATATACTTGTTTTTAATAAATTGATGTTTTTGCAGGCTCCATTGTAAGTAATTATATTAAAGTAATCTCATTCCAAGAAATTGACAGTTTTTTTTTCTTTTACAGAAAACGCGTTGTACCATTTGATTTGGCGCCATACAAGACATTTAGTTTCCGAGAACCATTTAAAAAAATTATTGGAACCGGTTAATTTAATGCGTTTTACAATTAAAGGTCAAATGTTATTCCATTATAGATGAGAAAATAAAATAAAAATTTCTGAAGAATGTATTTGTGATAAGTTCACCGTGCATTCCTATTTCACTTTAATAAGCATTCACTCCCACCAATGTATTGTATAAGGAGTAAACATCATTGTTTAAATGTTGTTTAAAATTCGTTTTTAACTTTTATACTTGTCTTTATATGTCCATATGAGTGCTATGTATTTTATGTAATCAAGAAAAGCGTGTTAACTATTCTGTAAAAAATCATTGAAATATCAGTTTCTAATGTCCATTATGGCCGAGTGGTTAGCGCTCTGGCAGTCGGTACCACAGGTATCGGGTTCGAATACCGACTGTGCTATGGATGTTTGCAGCGATTCGGAATCCACTTTAAACCGTAGGTCCAGGTCCTATTAGGACCGTAGAGCGTTGTGGGGGTAGTATTACTCGCGTCCGTAGCATATCTTTAAGCTACACTTGCCCCGTGGTAAACACTTGCCCCCTAACTACTAAAAAAAAACTGCACTAAACTAAACTACACTTGCCCCTGAGTAAACACTAAATGAGTAACAGCAGTGCAGCCCTTGCTTATTGTCAGCTGCATTAGAAGAACAACAAAAATTTCCCTTATGTCTAAGGAAATTATAGTGTAAATATTTCCTTATATTGTAAATATTAGAAAAACAACAACAGCATTAGAAAATACTTTCATGGAAAACCATTTTGGAATGCCTTTCTAGTATCGTTTTTAAATGACGGATACTTCGATAGGGTGCCATTTACCACCGTAAGGCGAGCTTTAATGTTACGAAGAGTACAATACGAGAAATCGGTTTCGAAACCCAACGGCATTGGAATCACAGCCGCTTTCAAAAGGCCTCTTCAAGTTTATATACTTGAAAGTAGAATTTGTATAAGTTTACATGAAATTGGTAGACCAATTTAAGATCGCATTTATTTGCCCAATTCATCAATTTATGTTCCTAAAATCACTTCTTTTCACACTTTTGTTTTGTTACACAACGATCAGCGAAATCGACGTTGCATAGTTGCAAATGAGAAGGAGATGCGATCCGTTATTGGTTTTTATCTGGTCATAGAAAAAAAACCATTATATTTTCTCGTTCAATTTTTGATTTAGGCCATTGCATGTAATTTTATCTATAACATGAATTAATGTTTTCTTATGCTTTTAAATTACCAATTTCCATAATAAAAAATCTTTTTTAATGAAGTTATCTATTTACTAACACTATTTTATTTAAACACGCTAGAAAAGCCAGTAAGGAAATGTGAAAAAATATTTTTATTCTTAAAGGTTGTGCTAAAACACGTATTCAATAAAAGATGAAATATTATTGCTGAAATGTTATTGAGAGTTAATAAAAGTAAATCTATAATTTAATGTTCTATATTTTATGCAAGTTAATTCTTACTTTTCCTTTACCGAAGTTAAGCATCATTGGGCGCGGTCAGTACTTGGGTGGGTGACCACCTGGGAACACTGCGTGCCGTTGGCAAATTTCTGACCTGAATGGCTGAGTATCTAGCGCTCTGACGCTCGGTGCCGCAGGTTTCGGGTTCGAATCCCGGCGGTGCCATGGCTGTTTGTTGTGGTTCGGAATCCCCTTTAAGCTGTAGGTCCCGGTCTCCTATGACTGTAAGAGCGTCACGGAGCTCAAACTCAGACTTCTTCCTACGGGTGCACCATCACAACAGAAGCTGCTTCCCTTCCCCTTCAATTATGAATACGTATGGGCTCGTGGGCTTGGGCAGCCGAGTGGGATAAGAAACAACAACAGAGTTCTAATTAGAACGTTTTTTGTATTAAATAGAAAATATTTCCCCAACGGATTTTGTACTTGTTTACGTATTTAATTCAGAATTTCGCAATTCATATGAAATTAGTATAATTTTTAAAATAAGGAGTTAAGTGTTAAAACTATATTAGTATGTAGGAATTTGAGAAGAAACACAAGTGAAAAATTTTAAGTTTTATTTAAAAATAATATTGTTTTGTATTCTCATAACTGTTGTATCTTGCACGTTAAGTTATTTTTTACAAACAAAAGAACATTATTTAATAAAATCGTTGCTAGTTAATTGCTTATTAAAAATAAAGAATACCATTGCACTCAAAGGCAGACATAATTATTTTTTAAATATTCTTAACCTAATTTCATCACCAAAATTTTGAGATTACTAGAAGTACATCTAAAGTGTTCTTTCATTAAATCATAAATACCAGACTAGATATTTTTTGTTCATTTCATTCAGAATGTTATGAGAACAAATGCTTTTCTTATTAGAATTCCGTGTACATTTGAAGCTGTTTTTTTAATGTAAGAGTGGAAGAAATGATTTTAATATGAAAATGCAATTAAAGGCAACAAAGCCGAAAAAGAAGATAAAGACTCCAAATCTTATTTAAATATTTCGGGAAATGAGTGTTATAAAAAAGTGAATTATTTTTTAATGTTGTGATTTTTATTTAATTATTGCTCTCATATTACTTTGCTTAAAAAATATACAATATGTGTTTTGATAATTCTGAAGAACAACGTTCGGAAACAACTTTAATATTATAAAAATTATTAATTCTTTATCCATGGAATAAGAAAAATAGAATTTAAGTAAAAAAAATTACAGTAAATTGTGTTTATTTTTCTGTAAAATACTATTGAAAATCTTTCTTAGAATATTATTTTTTTAAAAAAAGTTTTAAGTTTTTTTAAAAGTTTTTAAAAAGGTTTTTTTAATGTTATAGTTTTTATGTTAAAAGAAATATAGATAGGAAAACAAACAAATCTCTTGCTTTGTAAATAGAGAGACAAGCAACAAATTCTATATCAATGTAAACAAAAAAATATTTGTACGTCGGTACTGATACTATTTTATCAAACGCATTAAAAATGCTTTGTAAATAGGTTAACGTTAGATCACACAGATCAGCGCTGTAAGAAATGGGAAGTTGTTATGCAAAAACTGTGTAAGAAATACTCATTATATTTAAGAAAAACGTAAAGGACCCATTTATGGTCTAAATGTAACACATTGGACATTGTGTTAAATTTTTCTTAAGTGCAACATGTGTGAGAAATCTCTTCATTCGTAATTAAAGATTAACACAGGAAAATGCCTTTATTATTTGTTGCTATTTTTTTTTTGCTCGTTGCACTATTATCATCCCATGAACAAAATGACATAAAAATTAAATTATCTTTCCATCATTCTAAGGAATTCAAGTCTGAAGATGCTAAACATAAGACTTTTCACACCATTGCAAAGTGCTTCTTTGCTCATTAAAAGCATCGTGAGTTTCAAATTCCAGCAGATATTCGTTCCGTTGTAGCTTGTTGGCGATCATTTGGGAACTCGTTACTCATTAGCACATCGGTGGGCGAGCGAATCCTGCGTAATTATCGCCACCGTGGAACTTTAGGCACTGCTGAATTATTATGCTTCGTTATTTCGAGCAGTGGATTCGGAAATGAGGTCACTGTCTGTGAAGACAGAGACTGCGCGTTTAAAGATTCAGAATGATCCAGTCGTAATACGTTTAATAAATCTTCATTAGGAAGGTGTCGGTCTAGAAAGATAAATGATTTCATGTTTCATTTATGTGTCTATATATTTATGAATTTACGTATGTAAAGACGATTTTGAGATTGAATTAAATTATTGTATAGTAGCATGATATAATTATAATATGATTCTATAGAAAGCCACTATATTAATCTTTCTGTATTTCACAAAAATTTATTGAGTGTTTTATAGATTACGTGGTACGCATTAAATTATAAGAAGTTGTTGTTTTCAAGGGAGGAATATTTTCGATGCCATGATAGGTATACTAGTATAGCAAGTTAAGCTTCATCCAAGGTGAATCATAGGCGTCTACTACTCTGCATTGTATTTTTGTAATTTGAAACGAACATTTTGAGTGGTATCTAAGATATGCAAGTTAGCATCCACCTCTTCAACTTCTCAAGCTTAATGAAATGAGTTTCCAACTTAAGGATTTATTGTGCCCATTTCGGAAATAGATATATAATTTTTTGTTGCTATTGTGACTAATGTTCATATCCAGCTGCACGTGACGGACAACCCATTATTAGTCTACTTATGTATGGAGAGAAAAGGGGAAGCTTCTTTTGTGATAGATCACTCAGACTTCTACATAAAGTCTGAGTTGACTCCAAATAACTGAAGAAGGAGGGCAGTGCCGTCCGGGTTGATTTTAGGGGAGAAATACTCCGCATTTGAGTTTCATATGAGAGAAAACTAGGAAAACTTCCATCAGATAACGTGACTAAGGAGGCAATATTTTGAATATCACAAACGCCCTCAAGTCTCCAACAATGAAATCGCCTCTCTGTTTTGAAATAGTGTGTACAACATTGCCGTCAGTGGATAGAACCTGAGCCCTACTGCTCACCAGCGCCTCACGTTACCACTGAGCCATGAGTCAGCCTGGAAGCTTTTGTTTTAGATACACCATTAAACCAAACAATCTTATTTTGGAGGCATAACGTGCTGTACATAAGACAGTTACACCTTTTTTTTTTTAAATATAAACTATTATTATTATTTTTATTTATAATTTTCTTAGAAAATATCATTTTCTACCATGCTGCTAGTGATCCTTATACTAAAGATGTACTTTTTCGAAGGTTTTCTGAAGTGAAAGAGTGCATTCACAAAGATAAATGTGCTGTTTTAGCATGCAAGATGACAAAGGTTCTAGCCCTCGGGTGGCGTCCGTTGCATGTACTGCCTTCAGAAACGAGATTTGGTTTGGATTTGTCTCTCTACGGTTTGAGCTAACTAGACCGAGACCTACAGTTTAACGTGGATTCCAAACCCCTCACAAACATTCAATTCCAGGATTCGAACCTGAAGCCAGTGGTACCAAAAGCCAGAGAGCTAGTCAACTGGCCATCAGGGTGCTCAGAAACGAGAAGACTCGATATCTATTGTAAAGTTCTGTTGATTATGATGTAAGATTTTGGTTTGAATCTCCGTAGCAGGACCCTCGAGCTTGAAGACAAATTTTAAATGGCTCCGCTCCGGAGCCCTCGAGTGCAAATGGTTAAGATTTGTTCGTAGTATGTTCAAGCAATACTTGATTTCACATCAAGTATTAACAAACATTAGTGCAACTATGGAATCAATGAAGCTATGAAACTATGAAATCGATGTTAGGTATGGAATCATGGAATTGATGGTAATTAAAAAACTAGGCAAGCGAATGGGAGTATGGATCTATGGAAGAAGTAGTAACTGTGAAACTGGAACGACTATAATTATGGAAGTATGGAATTAATAGTAGTCATGTAACTATGGAATCGATGGCATCTGCGGAACTGTGGAATCATCAGTAACTGTAGAACTACGGAATGGATGATATTTATGGAACTAGCATTGGTAATAGCTGTAATTTTATGTATAACATAAATTAATATTTTTCTTATGTTATAAAATTGCGAATTTCCATAATCAAAAATAATTTTTAATGAAGAGATATATTTACTATTTAAACACTCGAGGAAAGCCAGTAGGAAAAAGTTTGGAAAAAAATATTTTTATTCTTAAAGGTTGTGCTAAAACACGTGTTCAATCAAAGACACGTGTCAAATGAGAGTCAATAAAATAAACTTATAACTTAATGTTCCCTAATTTATGCCAGTTAATTCTTGCTTTGACATAAACATTTCTAATTATTTAATTTAAAACACCCACCAATAGAAATGATAATCATTCTTTTAATTAGATTGGAATTTAATATAAAAATGAGTAGTAATAAAAGATTTAATTACCATACTTAACTAATTAAACATGAAAACACAAATATCACAATTTGGAATATCTTATCCTCTGGCAAAACTAACAACAACAAAGAAAAAACTCCTGTAGTTAAAAGATTGTTATCGATTACAAACTCTGTTCACTTTGCTTAACTTCATTAAATTCGCTTTACATCCAAGTCGTTAAAGTTATAAAGGGTAATTAGTCGGAGGTAGTAAATTTTATTACTGGTTGCAGGAGTAAAAAAAAAACCAGGTGTTTTACAACTATTAACTCCGTTCTTTTAGTACTTAAACACGATAATTATACTTGTAATTCTCTGATTAGGAGAGATAATGTCCCTTTTTCCCATCTATAAATATTTGGCTTCACAGCTTGTAAAAATGGTAATTCCGAATAGTGGCTTTTGGAGTCGCAGGGAAAGTAATTAAATAATCAATGAAATAAATAGTGAATCATAAATATTGTTTTTAAAATATCTAAATCACTCTGATCCAAAGATATTTTTCAGAGCTTTTAAAATATACATATTTTGATTTAAGGAACAATTTTAGATAAAAGAGATTTGATACTTTGATATCTTTTTCTATTAAAGTTATTTTTTTACAGATTTTAATATCGCATCAAATATTGTTGATTGACATGCATTAAAACAAAACTCTCACGATTAATTCGTAATTTAGTTAAAAATTTCATTAAAATTTCTGA